ATGTTTTGGTTCTTTAACACTGTGTTTGATGTTTGGGTTCTTTAACACTGTGTTTGTTTGATGTTTGGGTTCTTTAACACTGTGTTTGATGTTTGGGTTCTTTAACACTGTGTTTGTTTGATGTTTGGGTTCTTTAACACTTTGTTTGATATTTACTTTCTTTAACACTGTTTGCTGTTTGTATTCTTAACATTTGTTGGTTTGTTTGATGTTCGGGTTCGTTAACACTGTGTTTGTTTGATGTTCGGGTTTTTTAACACTGTTTTCTTAAAATTTGTTGGTTTGTTTGATATTTGGGTCCTTTAACACTGTGTTTGTGTATTTGTTTGATGTTTGGGTCCTTTAACACTGTGTTTGTGTGTTTGTTTGATGTTTGGGTCCTTTAACTCTGTTTGTTTGATGTTCAGGTTCTTTAACACTGTGTTTGTGTGTTTGATGTACGTGTCCTTTAACAATCCGGTTGTGTGTTTGTTTTGAGGTTGGGGCCCCTGTTTGGGCTCTACGTTGGCCCTCACTACACTCTGGTGGTGAACAACCATCGACACGCTCGTGAGGTTCTGCTTCAGAGGGGGCGGGACTTCGCTGGACGTCCGAACATGGTGAGACACTCAGAGACAGAGACATGTCCACTTCTATCAGAACAGAAGCATAAAAACTCAATTAGTTTATGTCCAACACATTTTAGTAACGTATAAAYTGGATTAGGTTATTTATGGATTACAGACAGAATATTTTGAGATTTAMATTTATAGTTAAATGTTTTCAGATTTAAGAAACAAATGAAAGTTTTCTTTTCAGTTAGTCTCTTCAGTTCAGACATCTATAATTAAACCTAAGTTTAAATCAGAGTATAGACAATAATTCAGCTTTAAMTGAGTTTAAACACCTGTGTGATTTAAAGTCTGACTCAGGTTGTTGTGTTCAGGTCACCACCAGCCTGCTGACCAGAGGAGGGAAAGACATCGCCTTCTCTGATTACTCTCCTCTCTGGAAGTTGCACCGACGCCTCGTGCACAACTCCTTCACTCTGTTCGGAGAGGGAACCAGCCGGCTGCAGGACATAGGTACAGGTGCACATTAAATTCATCTGTCTGTTCAATAAAAACATGTGTATTATATCTGAGAGACACTTCAGT